CAAAAGTGTTGGATGTCTACGTCCGCAGCTATCGCATTTGACATCTGATTTGCATCTTGTAGAGTAATGTTTTTTGGTGAGGCATCGAAAACAAATGCTAGCATTTCTGACAATCAGTTCCCGCTCTCTGGGTTCCTTATCTGCAAATACACGACAAGTAAGCAAAGTGTGACGATCTTTACTTTCAGGATGAATAGGGCATAACACGTCTTCTTCCGGATTAATGTCTTCAGAAGTTTTGATATCCGTTTTCAATGACTTGGTATGTCCTGCTTTGTTCGAATAAAAGTTCAAATTACGAGGGTTTGGAGATTTGTGTAGTTTCGAAGTAGATTCGTAGTCAACTCCAGGCATTTTGATGATAGCTGGATGGTTTTGTTTCAAAGCAATGTTATGCATGAGTTCAACAAAGGAAGAAAATGGAGGATAATCATCAGATTGTCTTGACATCATGTGTTTGGTAACTTTGTTTTCCCATTTGTCACGTACCATTTTAGGGATTTTCTCAATCAATGACTTCATGTAGTATGATGAATTCAAAATGGACAGACCGTTCAAAAACGGAATTTGTGAACCAACGTCTTCACAAACATCATAAAAGTTCTGATACCCTTGTCGGTCGTCGCTTCGGAAATTGGCAGCTTTCTGCAAGTTGTTCAGGAGGGCGTTTGTAATTTCTGCACTATGACCGAAACGTTCTTCCATAGCTTTCCAAAGGTTGGTGACTTTCACATGAGCGTCGGGATGTACACGTCTACGAAAGGTGTTGACAAGATCCTTTGGTTTTCCAGATGTGTAGCGAAGAAGGTATGTCATTTCCTGGTTTGGTGAAGCATCGACATCAGCAATCATTGATTTAAAAGCCACTTTCCAAGGCAAAAATATAGGAGGGTCTCCAGCGAAAACATCCGGTTCGCACTTAGGTAGTGACTGTTTTGCCAACGAAGACATAAGCTTAGCACTTGTTTCATTTTGCATATCAAGATGTCGAAACAGGGTTTCATTGAGTGCGAAAGTTGCATTATGTTGATGTGATGTTGCTTGATCAAATGGTCGAAACAGTGGGTCGTTACCAGCAAATCGTTTTGGTTGACAGGTAGCCGATGCTTGATGGTTATCTTCATTGACTTTATCCTCAATGTTAGGTTGAGTATCAAAAACTGGTTTCACGTCGTTTATCCAGTCCTGGGTTGCTTTAGAGCGATCAAGCTGTGATGCCAAATCATCAACAGAGCCAATGTCTGATCCCCCACTGTAGGCCTTTACTGCTGCTTCAGCCATTGCGAGGTCTCGTTTACTTTTAAGTTCATCTAATTTGGAAGCATCTAGTAGTTTCTGGCGTTCGAGGTCAGCTTCTCTCAACTTTTGGGTTAACTGAAACTGTCGAATCTGTTGATCAAATTCAAATTTTGTTTTCTGCTCAGCAGCTCGTACCTTAGCTTCCAGTCGCCTGGCACAACTTGATGTAGTAGAAGCTTTTGACAAATGAGCAGATTTTTTATCGTCACAGGGGTGCTCTTGGGTGCCTTCCTTACAAGGGATAGGTGGTGGAATGCTATTAGCCAGTGCACTATCTGATATCTTTAACCATTCCACTGTTCTAGACGAAATTTCAAGAGCTTCAGCTTGTCCAGATTCCGATTTATCACGGGTAAATAACTCTTGAATCTCTGTGGCTTCGTTCTTGAAGGCAAGTTGAGAGACAACAACGTTATTTTTTAACTCTGGGATTTCTGGTGATCCGCCTTTTGCTCGCAATAACATGTCAACGTGGTGTTTAAGTTCTTTATGAGACTTCCAAAACTTCTTAGTTTTCTCCGTTATAGCGTTTTCAACGAATTTCACAGATGGCGTTCGGTTTCTGGATGAATTTTGCGCAATTGGAGTTTCATTGTCGCCTTGATTGGCTTCCATACTTTTAAAACTTCGTCTTGAAACGTTTTGAAGAAACTAATAATTTTACCACAAATAAAGATCAACAACTAATTCGCGTGTTGCGAAGTGTTCATAACAATTACTATGAATAACTTTAGTGTTTTTTACTGTACTGTTTTGTCGGCTTGCAGACGACTCTTTAACTCTGACAGTACCGTTGAGGCCTTACCCGCAGCAAAGTCGAAGATGTCAACAAACCGGACGCGTCAGATCAGCTTAACGCACTCCCACAAATAAATCATAGAACGACGATGTCCTGGAACGATGTTAATTTAATGGGCAAAGTGGTAAAAAACACTGTGAAGTTTCACATACAAAATTATGACGAACAAAACAAATATCAACCCATGTTGGAAACAATGGCGGGTTCTAACCAGTTCATAGATCTCATTGTCCAGTCTCTCAGATATAAGACAGCACCGACACTCGCTGTGACGCTCAAACCAAATGCAAATGCGAAATAAGTGTCAGTAAATTATATGGAATGAAATGATAAGATTAATAAATGTCCATTACCGAAGTACACAAAATAATGGTAGGTTTAAGATAAAGAAAACACAAGCGTAGCGTCAGCTTGGTTACCGTAAGGTGCCTTAGTTCTAGTAACAAGTGTCTTATTTGACGACTACAAGTTATAATCTATGGCAAGACGGTAGGGTCATGAAAACGTAAAACAGCACACTGGGTGTGAAATGTGAATCATTCCGATTGTGAGAGGACAAGCATTATCAATATACAGCTTTTCAGGACTTTGCCTTCCTTGGTTAATTCTCCTTGTGTTTATTCTTAATTGATCTTTTTCAAATTTGTGTTACACACTGGAATCATGAGAGGACGAAACCTATCAATATTCAGTATTCCACAACATTTCATTCCAGTGTCGGCCGAGAAAGTTCTTCGTGATTTCCAGACTTGGTTTCCTCCCCTTGTCAGAGGTGCAGGACAGAGGGCCTGACAAGGAAGGACAGCTGTCTAGTCGTTTGGATGGTACGAATGACCGAGGTCCTGTGCACACATTGGTTCGCACGTGAAAGATCCCTTGGCAGTTTGAATTCGATATAAGAGTAGGCTTTAGCGCTGCTGTCTGGATAAAATTCCATAATAGGACACTGTATAGCATATTTCCATGTCATTAGCCCTGTCGGAATAGACATTAAACCCCATTTCATTTCACTCATTCCAAAGTTAACTCCTATTCCATCAATACCTTGAGCAAATAAGATAGAGGCTATAGGTTTTGGCCCAATTTGGTCAATATCCCAGTTTTTTCTTTCTTATATGCATATCAACACTTTCATAGCGCTAATGTAGACCTTTTTCTTGAACATTTTCCCTTGTCAGTGATGCCGGACAGAGGACCTGACATGGATGGGTGACTAGTCATACGGAGGGGACAAAAAAAAACCAAGGTACAGTGTAAACTCAAGTGTGTGTGTGTGAAAGATCCCTTGGCAGTTGGAATTTTATATAAGAGTACGCCATAGCTCTGCACACTGTGTGGCATATGCCCGTCTTCATTTCTCAAACAGCTGTGGATAAAAACTGTTAATATTTAAATGTGTATTTTGTATTTTATAACATTATATTTTTGTCTTTAAATAAAGTATATGTATACATACTTGTAGTATATTTTGTCATATAATTCTGCTAGATTATTAACTTTTCTGTGCAATACATTTAGAATTCTGACTTGTTATGGGTAGATAGAGAGCAATGGGGTAAAACATCCAATAGACATAAACTGTCCTTTGGGACTAAGTGATTCAATTCAAGTTGAATAATTCATCCGCACCAGGAATCTTTAGTAGTAGGAGGACCCAGAGAAAACCCATGTTCAAGTTGGGTGTGGAAAAAAACCACTTGACTCAATGACAGACCTTATGACCTAAAGCGCACACGTTGGACCACTCAACTTTTAGCCTCACCCACGGGTCAGGAAAATTTGATTATTGGTTGAATGTACTTCCCATTTACTGCGGCAAATAATGAATAATTTTGAAGGTTTTAATGCTCATCAAAATTTGACATTAGAATTGCATCCGTAAATGATGTTAATTTAATGTTAGATTTACGTTATAATGGTCGGTTAGATATCCATCATTTTGCTCATCCTTTTAACGACAATTTAACGTCAGGAAATGACGTTAATCTAGCGTAAAGTTTACGTCATTTTTATGTTATATTTACATCATTTTCTGACGTAAATCTAACGTAAAGTTTACGTCATTTTCTGACGTAAATCTAACGAAAATGACGTAACTTTACGCAAATTTTACGTTACATTTACGTCAGAAAATGACGTAAAGTTTACGTTAGATTTACGTCAGAAAATGACGTAAATATAACGTAAAAATGACGTAAAGTTTACGTTAGATTAACGTCATTTCCTGACGTAAAATTATCGTTAAAAAGATGAGCAAAATGATGGTAAACTGACTGGCCATTTTTACGTAAATGTAACGTAAAATTAACATCATATTGTTATGTGGGATAATAATTAGACATAATATGAATCATTTTATTGTATGTCATAGGATTATCGATTGCAAGAATTTGTTGAATGTCATGTTTCTATTAACCATATATTTGATATGTTATGAGCGAGATAGAGAGAGAGAGAGGGGGGGGGGTCTGCTCCGAGTGGGCTAATGACTGGAGAACGATGACGTGTGTGTTGTTTAACGGACACACGTCACGTATTGTTCAATTTGTTTCATCAATTCGCTTGTGCGTGGAGCACTTTAACAAAGGGTGAGCAAGTGGGATGGGGTGCAACATTTCCCTTATAACACATTGCGTGGCGTGTCTTGATAGCTCTCCCTCTACTGGCGTTTATAAAGAGCTATTTATTTAGTGTCCGACAATGGCCATCTTATCTTTTGTATAGATACGACCCAGATACCCTGTAATGGATTAATACCTCAGAGTTGATAATTGTATAAACTATTCGAGTTCTACTGTGACAAGACATTTGAATTCTCAGTGTTGGTGTCAGCCATATTGTCATGGCCGGTCTATGGCCACCGTGATTCACCACCTTTAAACTCTAATTAAGACCACATACAAGCTGTTGAAGTGTTTTATTGACAATGAGTTACATAAAATCGACAAAGATGACAATTAACCCTAATGGGGAGATGAGTGTAACAAACCGTATAATTCGTGACAATACTGTTGAACTGATTCCCGACGATGATAACCCCTCCACTGGTATTGCTTCAGTAGACATATTATATTTCCTACAAGCTAAGGATTTTGACATCAGCAATATAAAATGTCTCCAAAATGTAGGTAAGGGCAAGTTTTGCCTACCTCTTAAGGATATACTTGCCAAGGAGTTATTTCTTGAGAATCTCAAGACCTTCTCAGTGAAGAATTGCAATTATACAGTAGAGTCGGCTGGAAACATCACATGGGACTACCCTGTTGATTCAATTCCTGTTGCGGTCTTCGGCCTACCATTCGAAATGGACAATAAATATCTGGTTAACAAATTGATGAACTTTGTGAATTGGTTAAATGTGACAGATCCTGCTTCAAACCATTTCCAACGGTCGAAAGCGGTGTTAGAATTGTTTATGTAAAAAAAATGTTTAAACCTATTCCATCGCACATTTATATAAAAGGGATACATGTATCCATTAAATATGAGGGCCAAACTAGGGGCAAAATTTGTTACAACTGCGGTCTGCATGGGCATCTTGGCCGTGAATGTACAAAACCAGACAAAAGATATAGTCTGCCAACCAACCCCAATGCACCAAATCTTGATGATCAAATGGAATTTCCTGCCCTTCAACCCCAAACTAGTCCAAACAGTGCTATAGTATCTGCTGATATAGCCACTGAACCCACCCATAATATTGATAATATTTATGAACCTAATCATGAGCACCTAAATATCAATAACCATGTCTTAGGTTATGACCCTAGTGAAGACAATAACCCTGGTGTCAATAATATCCCCTCAAAAAATAATACGACAAAAACAAATGTCTTTAATTCTGGTCAAGTCAAACCCGCAAACCCAGGAAGTCTAAACCAGGACTTAGCTACTCTAGACTCCATAAAAACAACAGTAGTCAACAATGACATTCCTATCACTACCGATACAACAAATGTTATCCTCAGCCCTGATAGCCATTTTATCAATGATGTTAATAAGTCTATTATTGATACATCTAGTGGTCATGTTCCTTCCACCCCCATTAACACAGGATCCTCAGTGGGTCAAAGTTATTTAGAGGATAACAGTATCATTGACAACTCATCCCATGATATCCCTGAAACATCGCAGTCAAATCTTAACTATGACACTGATGTCTCATTGTTAAATATCTCTACAGTCACTAAGTGTGACACAGTAAGTAAAAGGGAAAGAAGCCTTGATAGTTTATCCGAAACAGAAATAGATGATAAAAGGGCGCGAGCGGAATCCCCGCTTACCGAAACAGAAGTTTAGAGATCAAACAAATTAAGACGTTATAAGTTCTTGAAACCATATTAGTTAACAATGAAGCCTTCTATCCCTATTATTTACCTAATTATTATGTTAATTTACTCCATAAACACTCTACAAGGAAATCTTCAAACGATTAAACAAATTAGCAATATATTTAACAAACTAGATATTGTTTGTATACAAGAAATCCTAAAATCCAATGTCCATCAAATAAAAAATGTTGAAAACGAAACTGGCTATAACTTATACACTGCATATAATGAAACAAAGATTGGCATTGCCCTATTATTAAGCCCAAACATTATACATAAACTCTACAATACACCTGATGAATTAGCAGGTAGGCTCCAACATCTGGAGGTAAATGCAAATAATGAAACTATTCAAATATTCAATATATATGGTCCCTGCAAGAGAGAATTGAAAACTTATTACTACAAGAGACTTCTTGAATATGTCAAAACTATTCATAATCCACAACATTCTTATATTATTACTGGTGATTTTAACCTTATTGAAAACAGTAAAGATAACAAACATGGCAACATGAATAACCATCCAAAAGATGCTATAAGATATCTACTTGATATACAAAATCTACTTAAGGCAACACAAATAAAATAACTTGTTTCTCGGGCACCGCCCGCACGCAAAATTGGTTGCGCGTGCAGTCTATTTATTAGTCTTGATGAAAAAAAATAAATATGTAACGCCCGCCCGCACATCGACAAGCAAGTCGTAAAAAAAATATCCCGCATGTACCTACATCCGCCATACATGTATATCTATTCAAATGTATTAAAACTGATTCAGATGAACATGCTGTCTTATTTATCCGAACAATGGCGAAGTTTGGCAGATTTGCCTTTTTTATTGATATCGAAAGAACCTCCATTTTGTATCACGTGATATTAATTACCTCCCCTGATAAACTAGAATTTGATTCGTGTTAAAAGTCATTGGCGACAATATTTCAATCATTCGATCGTAATCGGCTCATTATTGCCGGCTTCAGTCGGTCCTTGTTTGGAAAATCCTATTGATAAAATAATGAACCGTAGAACAGGTTAATTAATTATAGCTAAGAATACGATACGATGACGATAGTCGTCATAATGCATACCTTAGAATCTGGGTCATTATTAGCACATTTACGGTAGTTTCGATAATCCGGAAAATAATAATTGGATTACCGATTTGGTGGTTTTACTGACCAGTTGTTAGTTAGATTTAAATAGTCATTCAATATAAACACCGGATAGAACACCGAATATCCTGAGAAACACACCGAATATCCCAAGAAACAGTATTTCCGGCAATCTCCAATACCGATGACACGGTGTGACATGCATTGGTTGGAATTCGGTAAATAATTATAAATAAACCGGCGATACTAGATTTAGTTTTAAATACTGTTTACCATGATTATTATTTTTGATACACCTGGTGAAAGAGGCTTAGTTTTTAAAAATATTGTTGTCTTTATGGAGGGCTATTACATAGTCGTATGGAATTTTATTTTAAACCAATTTCAATTATGTGAATTAAATATGGAAAATTATTTTCCTTTCAGTCAGTGTTCAGTCTCAGTGTTTTAGTAGACTTGATTTTGGGTTTATGTTTTAAGTATGTACAATAAAGTTGAATATAACGGAAAGCAAAAACGTAAACAAGTAATGACTTTCTCATTTAAAAAAAAAAAAAAAGAAAGACCGCCTTCCCGCCCCAACAATTTTCAGCAATAGCCAAATTTTATTTTGCACCATCAATGAGTAAAAAAAAAAAAAGAAACCGCCCTCCCTCCCTACAGTTTCAGCTGTCAGTTGCCCGAGAAACAAGACATTTATTTTGTGTGGCCTAATATAAGTGATGGTTACAGAATTATCTCCCCTGACACTCCCCTTTTTACCTATCACAACTCACAAGGTCATGCTAGCAGATTAGACCGCATTTACATAAGTAATAAATATGCAACTTACATCAAATCAATTAAACATATACCACTTCATTTCACTGACTATAAAGCAGTGGAACTAAATATCAACCTTAACAATCTTAAATGGGGTAAAGGATATTGGAAACTTAACAATTCTATTCTAGATGATAAAAACTACCAAAATCAAATTAAAACATTCTGGTCAAGCGTGCAAAACAAAAAATACCAAATCATTGACAACATACAATGGTGGGAAAAAGGTAAAGCCGCTATTAGAAATATTACACAAAATTACTGTCAAGCCTTAGCAGTTGAGAACAAACATATCCTCAGTAACCTTTATCAACAACTGGAATCCCTAGAAAATGAAATACCTAGTAAGAATAACTCTATAAACGAGATTAAATCAAAAATTGAGCTTATAGAATATAATACCAAACAAGGCTACGTTATACGTTCAAAATTAGAAATACCCCAAATTGATGTATCTACTAATTCTAAAATATATAAATTAGCAGAAGTTAAAAAGGGTGCAAAAAAACAAATTAAACAACTGATCAATCAAAATAATACAATCTGTGACAATAAACAAGATATATTACACACAATTCACCAATTCTACCAACAACTATATACTTCTCAAAATATTAATGATAACTTAATGAAGTCCTATATCGAAAACAGTGACATAAACACACTAACAAACACGGAAAGAGATTCAATATCACATTTTATATCTAGAGATGAAGTCCTTAAGGAGTTACAAAAATTTAGAACAAACCGTAGCCCGGGTATAGATGGTATTCCAGGAGATTTCTACATAAAATTATTTGACATTATAGGAAACGATTTAACAGAAGTATTAAATAACATCTATCTACAGGGGGAATTATCTAACACAATGAGAACTGGTATCATAACAATAAACTACAAGAATAAAGGCGACCATCGATTACTCAAGAACTATAGACCGATAAGCCTGTTATGTGTGGACTATAAAATCATAACAAAAATTCTAAGCACAAGAATAAATTCTGTTATTAACAAATTAATCTCTAATACACAAACAGGAGCTGGACCAAATAAAAGCATTTTTGATAACCTATATTCAATAGATACAATACTAAATTATATAAACACAAATGAGTCCAGTGCCTATATATTATCATTTGACCAAGAAAAAGCCTTCGATCGCATTGAACACAACTATATCATAAATCTACTTAAACATATTAATTTCCCAAATTACATCCTTAACTGGGTTACAATATTGTTTAAAAACTTGATTAGTAAAGTCCAAGTAAATGGATCCTTTTCCCAAAATATTAAAATTAACCGATCGATTCGTCAAGGATGTCCACTATCCATGATTCTATACTCATTGTGTATCAACCCCCTTGCTTCATACATAAACAAAAACATCCTCATATAAGGCATCAGGATCCCTAACCACCCTTCAGAGATTAAGTTATTTCAGCATGCAGATGACTGTTCTGCTATAATATCTAGACTTTCTTCATACAGCACTCTCCTCGAACAATTCAAAACATTTGGCTCTATATCTGGCTCCAAACTAAACCATGATAAAACTGAAATCCTTTCTGTTGGAAAACCATCACACTACTCCTATCCTGTAAATATAAATATTAATATTAAAACAGACGCTATAAAATTACTAGGCATTTGGTTTGGCTCAAATAAAATGGAGAAGAACTGGCTACCCCTTGTTCAAATAATCAATTCAACCATCCAGACATGGGAAAATCACTCTCTTTCATATAAAGAAAAAGTATGCATCTTAAACACCTATATACTCAGCAAACTATGGTTTGTTGCTAGGATAGTTCCTCCCTCAAACTCAATTATTAAAAACATAAATAAAATAATCTACAATTTCATCTGGGAAAATAAAAGTGAAACAATTAATCGAAACACCTTGAACCTAGAGCATAAAAATGGTGGCCTTAAAGTGCCAAACATTCGACTAAAAATCCAGGCAATGCAACAACAACTTATAGTAAAAGCAATCAAAGACAACAACAGTCCCTGGTTAGGCCTATACATATACTGGCTAGGATTTACTACAAGGGATACTCTGCCAAGATATGCATCCAATAATTATACCCACTCGGAAAAACTCCCCCAATCATATATAGATATAAAAGAAACTTACAATAGCCTCAAATCATCCATCAAATATACATACAATACAAAACTTAAAGACATATACTGGTCCCTAATTGACTTATTACAGACACAACCAAAAATAAATAAACAATTACCTCATGTTGACTTTTCAAAAGTCTGGACAAATCTCTATAAATGCTCCTCCTTATCTGAAAAAGAAAAGGATTTCATGTATACAATCATCAATAATGCAGTACTAACAAAAGATATTATGCTATACAGAAATATATATACTATCAACTATAAATGCCACTATTGTAACCGAGCAACTGAATCTTACCATCATTTATTTCTGAATTGCCCCAAATTAAAATTCTATAAATGTTTCATTACTACACATATAAACAACATTATCTCACCAAAGAATTCAAAATCAACAACAATACAATCCATCTACACAATATAAAATCTAAATACATTCATGATATATACCTATACCTGTCCATTATATTGTCTAACCGAACACACCCTCTATCCACAAATATTTCACAAGAGCTTATATACCAATTCTATACAAAAAGAAAACAAAAATAAAGATTACTCTCTAAAGCTCGAGTCTTCACTACCTTATGACCCTCCTTAAGCCTAGGATTGTGTCGTCATGTCTGAATTTATACTCTGCAACTTCTCCCATGAAATATTGACTTTGCTACTATAATAAGTAGCTACAACCATAGACATCTTCTTATATTTCTTTCGTATATGAGCACTCATTGCAATTTTTAGTAAGAATGTAGGCCTTCAAGCAAAAATAACCAAACACCTGTAGGCCTACCCCATATAAATTCTGGAAAATTTTGGCTTAATTGATAAACCAATATTATACAAAAGGAAATAAAATCGAAATCACCAAGCTTCAGCCTACTCTGCCTTACCGAATTCTCCTGTATAAGGCAAGTTATCGTCCTGTATGAAGCTTCCATATTAATTACTCTACTATATGACTAAACAGACCGTGCTATTTACTTTAAGTTGTCACAATTTGACATCTTAGTCATCTTTCGTTTTCGTTAAATGGCACTATCTCACTCTGTCATATAAATAAAATACCTATACACCCACTGAAATATGTCCAACAGTAAAATAGAAATCCATTAAAAACATTTAAACACTAACTCAAGTTTTACCCGTTTGTTTTACCGCTATTTATTAACTGAAATCAACACTCACCTCTAACATTAACATGGCCATCATAACATCCCACAATTCCCTATGCACGTTCTTTTTGTGCTGGGAAACATCACACTCTTTTTCAACCAGACGCTTTTCCGCAACAGACTTCAAATATATTTTTAGCTGTATATATGAAAGTAGCTATAATATAGGAACTTTAATTGTATTCTGTATTATATTACCGTTTGTATATATCATCTCATATTGACTTTGTATATAACAATTGTAAATAAATAAATAATTCTACTGTATTAAATTAAAAAAAAAAAAAAAAAAATTAAAAAAAAAAGCTGCAGTGTAGTAGGACCCATTATTATATATAACATGTTATGGCAGATAACTTGGATGGTGTATATATTTCATGTTATAGGACAATATTGGTGCCAGTCATTATCACATATGTGATAGAGCTGGTTGAACACATTCCGAATATAATTTTAACACGGAGATCATTGCTACGATAGCTGAGTAATACAGGTTTCCTGAATCGGAAGTGACGATCAACGCCAATGGAAAACACGAGTCATTGTAATACAATATCATTTGGGATCTAAATTTCAATATTGTATTCTTAATTCATATTTTATTTGTAACTCAATTTTAGACATATATTAAGTGACAGATTAATTGTAAGATTTAATCTATATCAGGTGTAGGTTGTTGAAATAATATTATGTAAGATTTAATGGATTGTACAAACATGTATACCCGGAGTGGCTATATGGTATAAGATTCAGGCTTAACACGTATTGACACCTTTTGTCTTGAGCTAAGATGTGTGAATCTTAATAATTACTTTTCATTGTTCTGATTACGAATGGTATTAACTATGGCGTGCCTTAACCGATATAAAAAGCCTAGTTTACAAGCAGAAAAGGAGGGTACAAAGGAGGGACAAGAGAGGCCCGTAGAGGCTGAGAGGTCTCCCGGACCTCGGGAGAGGGTCTGCCCTTGACACCGGGCAGAGGGGTCCTGTGAGACCGAGGGGAAGCAGCTATAGCTAGACGTAACTTCACCCAACCAAATGATGTTATTATGTACCTGTAAATATGTTGTCCAGTATTAAAATATCTTTTTAATAAATAAGAGTTATGTATTCTATCACATCATTTCTCTATATAACTGACTGATGTGACGAGTGATAACAGATACACGGCCGAATTTCTGCTCACTAATAATTCCTTCGAAGACCAAAAGTTGTTGTGTGAGACTGTGAGAGGATATTGCGAGCGAAGATATTAGCCTTTGGAGGTTTGACAAGACGTGTGCAATAATTTCAAGCACGGTACTGGTTATTCGAAGCTAAGTCTCGCTCCTCCATTTTTAGCTTAAATCAAAATATGGCTGAACTGTTTTCCGATGCCACCGAGGGTTGATTATGACCTGGATAAGTTAATTAATGTCTAATTAATAATGTAGAAAACATTTCAGGCCTAAAGAAAGACCTGCAATAGGTAGATTTAGCTCTTGCATAATGTATGTTTAACGGGCTAAAATAGAAGAAAAACGCATTCACGGTTTATTTTAGTAGCGATAACAGAGATCAGCTTGCGAAATAATGAATTGTCACATCGCTTTGTCTGACATGCATGACTGAGCATTACCTAGAAATCAGCTATATTTGAGGCAGGGTCCTGTTTCCACTTGGTTGGGCACGTATGATTGACCCAGTTTAAGAGTACACCTTGAATGCACTCTCTGTTCATTTTAAAGCTGAACTCCGGTTACAAAAATACCGAAATAATTAAATAAAAAAATGTTAACGCCCCCAAGCCGCCATACTTGTTTCCAATTTGTGAAATAAATATGGCGGACATGGGAGGCTTATGACCTGGAAAGGTTAGCCGATCTCACTTCCAGTTTGTTTCTTGTCAGCCACCTGTACACATCCGGCCTTATTCTCTACACACGCTTCACTGTTTGCTCTATTGTTTCCCAATAGTATACCAAATTATTGAAGATTGCAAAATATCTGACCAGGTAAGCCTGTAAATAATTATATGAACTGCGTCTACTACTATATAGCCTAAAAGCTTTACTCTAAAACAAAAGATGCAAAAAGATGACTTACCCCAACCTCAAATTTTCAACCATGAAGAAGAAAATAGATAGGGGTCTTTAGCAGTGGGGGGAAACCGGAGGACCTGGAGAAAACCCACGAGGTTGGACAGGCGACCCTACTCCTTGTCACGTACAACCGGGGATTCGAAACCACGCCAGTCGACTCAATGGCAGACTTTATGATACCGCGCGCGCACACTAACCATTCAGCCATCCAACCCCCCACATTTTAATCAAAATGAAGCGTTGACTTTGGTTGGTTTGTAACAAGATTAAAGGACAATATTGGTGTCAGTCGTTATAAAATATGTGATAGAGGTCGTTAAATACACCCCAAATATAATTTTAACACAGAGATCATTGCTACGGGAGTTGTGTAACAAGTACGTGAAGAAACGGGAAGTGACGTCAAACATGACAAACATGAATTGTCCTTGTATATAACTGACGGAAGTAACGAGCGGTAAGAGACAAACGATCGAATTTCATTTCACTGATAATTCCGTTGAAGATGAAAAGTTGTTATATGAGACGATGAGAGGATATCTGACAATTCAAAAAAAGAATTCAAAAACCAAGGCAGACAGTTAACCCAAATATATAAAATCCAATAAAATCCAAAATGTCATCCGTATGTATGCGTTTGTCATTTTAACTGTGTATATACACCCATTTTGTTCCTTTGTTTTAATACTATGTATGTATATTATCTAGGGAGAGGGGTTTTACATAGGCTAAGCCTGTTCCCCAATCCCATTCAGACATCCTGAATAAAAATATTGTTTATAAAAAAAAAACAGATCCGCTTTCAATCCACTTGAGCATGATTTACATTAATATGAATAATGATTCATAAGTATATCTTAAACATTCTTGTTATTGTGATAAATATTGATAAATATCAAATACGTATGATGTAACTCGATAATAGAATATATATGCCTCCGACCAATACCCACTGCCAAGGGGAATCCAGCACTGGGAAGGAACCCCGGAACTCCTGGTGTGTGAACCAGCGCCTTAAACATACATTATGCAAGAGCTAAATCTGCCTATTGCAGGTCTTTCTTTAGGCCTGAAATGTTATCTAAATTATTAATTAGACATTAATTAACTTATCCAGACCATAATCAACTCTAGATGGCATCAGATTTCTCCGATATTAAATAGATTAGAATGGTTCAGCGATACTTTGATTTAATCAAATATGGAGGACCGAGAGTTAGCTTCGATCAACCAGTACGGTGGTTGAAATTATTGCACACGTCTGTCAAACCTTCAAAGGCTAATCTTCGCTTGCAATAGAGTAATTTGAATGAAATTTTCAAATTATTCATTTTACATCATCTACTTTCGAACTATTATAGCAAGAATGGCTAGTTCTTTATCTAAATCTTACATAATGTATCTTTAAAGGTACATTAGTTAAGAGTTTTATAAAGAGTTGGCCATTCTTACTACAATAATTCGAAAAAAGATGATAAAAAAAAAGAAACTGTTGAAAATTTCAGTCAAATTACTTTGTTCTGAACGGAATTGTCACTGTTCAAAGTTTGGACTAGAAAATGGCATCAATTGTGTCTGCACCGTCTATGAAAATTGACAGACGATAACTCAATGGCTATGGTAGCCTCGCTTAGCAGGCCTTTCATCACCAGTTTCCGGTAGTGACATCAGTGACTAACGGTAAACGTTAGCTTGGTCCGCCATTTATTGATTTAATTTTAAATAGACGACTGTTTAAATCCAAACTGTATCCAAGCCATCAGTGGGTCTACGGCGTGTAAATGAAGGTCTAATTAATAATTTCTATAACATCTGAAGCCTACATAAAGACTTGCAATAGGCAGATTTAGCTCTTGCATAATGTATGTTTAACTACTGAGTCGCCATAGTTTCCAGAATTTTATAGGTTGAGTTCATTCAATAATATAAGGTGCCACTATGGCTCCGTGATTTAAACGCTGGCTCGCTATCCTGAAGGTCGCTGGTTCGATCCCGGTGTTGACCGATAAAGTTCATCAGGATTTTCTGGCGTGGTTTCCGCTTGGCAATGGTGCATGACGGAGGGACTGACAAGGATAACTGTCTAGTCTTTCGGATGGGACGAACAACCGAGGTCCCGTGTACACATTGGCGTGCACGTAAAAGAATTCGATATAAGAGTAGGCCGGGCAAACTTGTCCTCATTGCACACTGTATGGCGTATGTCCGTCTTCATTAGCCCAATTGGAAAAGAACAGCAGAACAGTTGGACGTTAAACCCCATTTCATTTCATTTTAATAATATAAATAAATGAGGTAGGGTTTAACGTCCAACTGTTCCGTCTTCATTAGCCCATTGGAAAAGAACAGCAGAACAGTTGGACGTTAAACCCCATTTCATTTCATTTTAAAAATATAAATAAATGAGAGAGGGTTTAACGTCCAACTGTTCTGTCTTCATTAGCCCATTGGAAAAGAACAGCAGAACAGTTGGACGTTAAACCCCATTTCATTTCATTTTAAAAATATAAATAAATGAGAGAGGGTTTAACGTCCAACTGTTCTGTCTTCATTAGCCCATTGGAAAAGAACAGCAGAACAGTTGGACGTTAAACCCCATTTCATTTCATTTCAATAATATAAATAAATGAGGTAGGGTTTAACGTCCAACTGTTCTGTCTTCATTAGCCCAATTGGAAAAGAACAGCAGAACAGTTGGACGTTAAACCCCATTTCATTTCATTTTAATAATATAAATAAATGAGGTAGAGTTTAACGTCCAACTGTTCTGCGCCAACCTTGTTATTGGAGACGGAGAGTGGGGTTTAACGTCCAATCGACACATACTAGGTGATTTTGAGACCAACATATGAATCAATTGTATTTCAATAACCGGAGGACCACGAGGTTGGACAGGCAGCCCCACTCCTTGTCACGTACACGCGGGTTGACACAATGACAGAACTTACGATCTCACGCAAACGCATTAAACCATTCGGTCACCCAACCCCTCTTAAAAATACAAATAATTGTAAAGATATCAGTTGTAATTTAGTAAAGAAAATAGAAACGAACACGAAGATTATTTTCCAATATCCATTGAGTATACACTGCAATAATAATAATAAAAACAATAATTATAAAAAAAAACTTATTTATTAACAAGTACAATTACTTGCACAATTTTAAAACATTGCAGTTTTAATTTAGTAAAAAAAATAGAAAAGAACAAGAAAGTTTTTTTCCGACATCCATTGAATATACACTGCAATAATAATAATAATAATAATAAAAACTACATTTATAAAAGGAAAGCCACTTGCTGCACATGTGTATAAACTATGAATAAGCTTAACAAGCAATTAAAAATAGGAAAGAAAAATTATACTTATTAGTCACAGATAATATTTATATCAACAATTAAAGATAAATATTATTCATCGCTGTTTTTAAACAAAGATAAAACAAACAAACAAAAATAAATACATAAAAACCACCCCATCCTACACCACACCCACAAAAATACTAACAAAAATAGCCATGGATATTTTCGGTTACATAAAATGTGATATTATGGCAAAGAAAGGAGATTGTTTAATGATAAAATGGGATACAATAAAGAAAAGAGATAATCTAACAACAATATTATATTTAATGATAAAATCGTAAGTTATATAAAAGACATTCCGTAAAGTAGATTTTATTTTAATGCATAGATAATTTAATTAAGTTCGTGCATTAGGGAGCCGCTAGCGCTAGCCATGAGATCTCGGGTTCGCTTCCAGTGTTGGCCGACAAAGTTCCTCGGGAATTTCCGGCGCGGTTTTCCCTTGTCAGTAGTGTAGGAAGGATGGCCCGACAAGGAACAGTGTCTAGTCTTTAGGATGGGACGAAATATGGATAAAGGGTAAACATTGGCGTGCGCATAAAAGAACCCATGGCAGTTGGAATTCGATATAAGAGTAGGGATATAAGAGTAGGCCATAGTGCCGCAACCTTGGCAAAATTTCCCTCACAGCAGACTGTGGTATGGCGTCTTAAATAGCCCAGTCAAGAGTAGAACAGTAGAAAGGTAAACCCTATTTTTTGTCTTTATCATTATTAGTTAATATTTATAAGTAACCACGAGTGTCCAGTGCATAATATATTGTACTCGATTATCCATAAGTAGTAGACCTGGTGGTTACTACTGCCGTTGAATAAACGACCACCCTGAGAACTATGCCTACTATGATACAAATAATACCCAGTACCAGGCCAATAATGTTTAAAGTACGAGCTGTTGATGCCTTGGCTTGAGCAGTGTTCACATCTCCAGCAGTAAAGGCATCACGTGACTGAAAAAGAGTTATGGTAAGCATACATTAAAACTCATTTTATTTACAGCCTTAAATGATACCCATCTTGTTGTTCTCCTTGTCCTCCATGCGCTGCTAAAACATAGCTAAGAGAGAGAGAGAGAGAGAGAGAGAGAGAGAGGGGGGGGGTGTTACACCCACTCGACACAAGTTAGGTCATTTCGGGACTAACGTATGGTTCAATTTTATTTCAATGATTCGCTTGTGCGTGGGAGTATTTAACAGTGGAATGGGGTGGGGGTATTTAACAGTGGAATGGGGTGGGGGTATTTAACAGTGGAATGGGGTGGGGTATTTAACAGTGGAATGGGGTGGGTGGGGTAAACTGAAGGACCTGGAGAAAACCCACGAGGTTAGAAAGGCGACCCTACACATTGTTACATACAAACCACACCACAAACTACAGAATATTAGGACCGCACTGCACGGAGACAACAAAACCTATAAGACAAACATACGGACACCACAAGCTACATAGACATTACAAGAAATAACTATGTGATGTTGTGTACACGTATATATTGTCTTGTCATATTTTCATATTTTATCCGGGGGGGGGGCTGAATGGTTAGCGTGCGCGCGCTGTATCATAAAGTCTGTCATTGAGTCGACTGGCGCGGTATGTGACAAGGAGAAGGGTCGCCTGTCCAACCTCGTGGGTTTTCTCCGGGTCCTCCGGTTTCCTCCCACTGCTAAAGACCCCTATGGGCAAGCGAATTATTGAAATAAAATTAAACCATATGTTAGTCCCGAAATGACCTAGTTTGTGTCGAGTGGACGTTAAACCCCATTTCTCTCTCTCTCTCGCTCTCTCTCTCTCTCTCTCTCTCTCTCTCTCATAGTTTATCATTGCTTGATAATGAAGCCTAGTTGAAGACTAAACATGACTCAGTAATAAGCAGTAATTGTATTCCATAGAATTGTGACCTGTGTACTCCAGTTCAATTACAAAATGCCATTGAAATATTATACCAAGTGAATGGATATGAGGGCTCGCCGAAAGGGTCCATCGCGCTGCGCTATGTAGTGCCGGACCTGTAATAATACAGCGCAGTAATGTTGTCATTCTGGGCGGTGGTAAGTCATGAAAAACAATAAACAATAAATGAAATGAAATGAACGGATCCGGAGGTAAGTCATATGTTGCTTCCTTTCTTTATGAGTTCAAGTGTTTTAATTGATGTAAATAGTTTGTAGACAATGACATCTATCGTTCAGGATACCCAGTTAGATCGTATCTCTAGATTGACGGGAGAGAGAGAGAGAGAGAGAGAGAGAGAGTGATTTATAACTGAAGTTGACGTTTAAACTCTCGACAACTTCTGTGAAGACACGTTCTTAATAAACATCTAGTTTATTCAAGATGTTCTTTAACAAGCTACACATGATCCGCGTGTAACACTAGACTGAACTTCAAAGAGAATGTATCATATATACCTTGACCTGACAATGACTTTTAAAGAAATATGCAGTTTAATTACAAACACCATAATTGATAATAAACAATACCATATTTGATTATCACTCCTGTCCACCTCAGCTAATTGTTAGAGGCTTTATAAGCAACGTTTACTGACAGCAAGTCAGACTTGGAATAGAGCTCCCCCCGAGTTCAGCCGCTGCCTTGGCAGAGGGGCGGAATGGTTGATTCAAGATTGTTAGATGTGTTCCTGTCGTAGACTAGTTCTTGTATAGTTTAAGTACCGTATTGTTGTTGTATGTATGTAACTGTAGCTGTTATATGTTCCCGTTGTAAATAAATGCTGTATTTACTAAACTGGTCTACTGCTATCACTAACGATAGTGTTACAGTAACAGTAATGGGGCTCGTGAACCAGTGAACCTGACACATCGTGAACCAGTCCTATGGGGCCGCAGAAAATCTTGTTAGACACCAGAATTCTCTAGTTAAAATTACACGTTGAAAAGATAACAGTAATGGAACCACTGATGTCCGGATGCGATCCTGGGAGAAATCTTTGGAAAAAGATGAAGTTTCCAGACGGTTTTTAAGGTAGGTGCATATTTCCTAGTTAATTGACCATGGAAAGCGAAAAAGACCACGGGATAATTTTAACAATTTTTAAAGGTTAGGGATTTGCTAAAAATAAAGGTTTAAAAAGAATGTAAAACTAGTAAAATAATTAAGTTAAGGAAATAAGTTTAGGAAATAAGTTAAGAAAATAAGTTAAGGGGATAAGTTACGGAATAAGTGAAACCAGTGAAGTTTAAAACAATGGACGATCACAAGGTTAGTATAATATGTTGCAATGAAGAGAGCATGCGCCACACGTTGGATGTGGGGTTTTTCGGAGATGTCCACATCTAGCCAGTGACTCATAGAACTGTATAGTGCTACATAGTAGATACGGTACGTTGTTAAGTAAATAAGAGTTAGGTTTAAAAATGGGAAATTTTCTATAAACGTAGGACTAAATAAAAATCATAAAATGGGAAACGGTAAAACTAAGCTAAAAGAAATAAATGATGTCTCCGATCTATAAGGTTAGATCGTAATAATGTAATGTAGTGTTATGTCCAAGTAATGTATATGTGTTAACCGCGTAAGGTTAAGGTATGGATTTGTGTAAAATCGCGAGTAGCGTTTATTTTTTGGGTAAAGGAACATGCCCAAGGAAAATATTTAAACTGACCGGCCCTTTGTAAATTCGCGAGATAGCGTGTGGGTCGGTATTAGGTTTTAAATAAATGATTTAATGTGAAACCGGGTGAATTGCAATTTATAGCGAGTAGCTTATGCAAATATCACTGTTTCTGGATTATTCGTGTCGTTTTGTTAAAAAAGTATAAAGTTCAAAGTATGTGTTAAAAGCGAAAAATATACCATGGTAAAATGGGTAATTTAAAGTTGGATTTGAATGTGCGATTAGCTGTCGAATAGATTTTGAATTCCCTGATATGTCATGCGTAGCGTATACGTAAACCATAGTTATGTATTGGAAACTTATTTGTAAATTGTTATATGTGTTAAACTAAATGTTAATAGGGAGTATCTATATGGAAATTTGAAAAGGGGTAATTAATTATAGGTTAGGGTAATTAATTGAAGATGATTTGTTAATTATGAGATAAAACTGTCACTGTCAGTAAGTAAGGAAGAATACTAATGAGTTTTAACATTATTAATTACTGTAGGTGATAAGTACTAATTAATAATGCTAAATTTGATTAATTGGACAGATTAAGTTCTATTGTCAATAGTTTATTCAGTTAAAAGTAACGAGAATTAAGTATTAATACAGGTGTATTCCCAATGAAGTAAATACAATTTTAATTTTAAGTAAACTTAAAGGAAAGAATTTAAGTAAGATGTAATCGTATCAAATTAATTTTAAAATAAATGTTATACAAATTGAGGGTAATGTAATTGAATTATTAGTGGTCTAATTGAGCAAGTACACTGGTCATTTATGGGATTTATTGTACTATATCTTAACGTACAACAACGCAGAAACAGACAGGGGAATTCCAGTACGAAACAAGATATGGCTCTCAAGCGAAGTTTCCAGAAGTTCACAAAAGTAACCGTGCAAGCAACAGAACTAAGAAACAGAAGATATAATTATGAAGTGAACTTATTGACAATGAAACAGTGTTTTTTTGTATGATTTTCTTTTTTAAAATGTGTTTTATAGTATAACCAAGTATTTATATTGTATCTAATATTATAGCATGTATATCAGTGTAATGATATTTTAGAATTGTAATGGCCATATTGTAATGGCTTTAAAGTATTGCTATTGTATTGTATTTAATGCATGTTAGGTAACAACGTTAATTAAGGAGATGGTGTCGGCTGAGACCGAGGACGAAAATACGCTCCATGGAACAGATAATTCCACACCAGCATTTAGAAATAAGCAAGTGACATTAACTTTGTCATGAGTTAGTCGAGAAGAATGCCAGAATTTAATGGTACAACGAGAAGTGTCGACCGAATAAATGGTATTGTCCTACAGAAAAGTCTAGGACAAATGTTGTTCCTGTAGTATAGTATACATATATGATCGCGTGTGTTTTTATTATATCATGAGTGCTGTTTTATTTCGTGTGTGATATACATTTATTAATGTGCCATCAAGTACATGTAATACAGATGAAGTTGACTTTAAATTGTGTTCGTTATTAATTTTTTTTTAATTAATAACTTTCTGGTGGGGGAGGAATGTAACAGAGTGATTTATACCTGAAGTTGACGTTTATATTATGATCGTTATTTATTTTTAATAAATAACCTGGTGTGACAATCTGATCTATAACTGAAGTTGACGTTTAAACTCTCGACAACTTCTGTGAAGACACGTTCTTAATAAACATCTAGTTTATTCAAGATGTTCTTTAACAAGCTACACATGATCCACGTGTAACACTAGACTGAACTTCAAAGAGAATGTATCATATATACCTTGACCTGACAATGATTTTTAAAGAAATATGCAGTTTAATTACAAACACCATAATTGATAATAAACAATACCATATTTGATTATCACTCCTGTCCACCTCAGCTAATTGTTAGAGGCTTTATAAGCAACGTTTACTGACAGCAAGTCAGACTTGGAATAGAGCTCCCCCCGAGTTCAGCCGCTGCCTTGGCAGAGGGGCGGAATGGTTGATTCAAGATTGTTAGATGTGTTCCTATCGTAGACTAGTTCTTGTTTAGTTTAAGTACCGTATTGTTGTTGTATGTATGTAACTGTAGCTGTTATATGTTCCCGTTGTAAATAAATGTTGTATTTACTAAACTGGTCTACTGTTATCACTAACGATAGTGTTACAAGAGAGAGCAACACAAACTAAATCATTTTTTCGACAAGAGACCCTTCTCCTTCCTTGTCACATAAAATCTGTCAATGCTAACCACGCTCTCTCTCTCTCTCTCTCTCTCTCTCTCTCTCTCTCTCGGGGCCACGGTGGCTAGGTGATTAAGACGCTGGCTCGCTAGCCAGGAGGTCGGGTGTTCGATCCCTGCATTGGCCGAGAAAGTTCATCTGGATTTTCCGACGTGATTTCCCCTTGTCAGTGGTGCAGAACGGAGGGCCTGACAAGGACAGCTGTATAGTCTTTCGGATGAGACGAAAAACCGAGGTCCCGTGTATACATTGGAATGCACGTAAAAGACCCCTTGGCAGTTGGAATTCGATATAATAGTAGGCGATAGTGCCGTTGCCCGGGCAAAATTTCCCTCATAGCACACTGTATGGCGTATGCCCGTCTTCATTAGCCCAGTATAGGAGCAGAACAGTAGGACGTTAAACCCCATATCATTTCATTTCTCTCTCTCTCTCTCTCTCTCTCTCTCTCTTAAATAGCATTTCATTCAGTTTCAAATACTTACCCCGCATGAATAAATTATTGAAGCTATTCCAATTGGCCAGAAACAGCACAGACAAACGAAGATGGAGAATCCCAGATAATCCTGGGGTTTTGTCACGTAGAGTGTTGACGGCTGTGGCTGTGTTGTTACCTGAAACCAAAAAGATTCTCTGGTAAAATAAATAACTTAGTATCATTTATATAATAACCCTAGTCTGGCCCAATATGTTTGGGGTCAAACACGGAATCTAAGGGTTAGTGCGCCAGAGCCTTATGAACTGAATCCGCTGTGGCCCCGTTTAACGTCCACTCGACATAAATTAGGTCATTTCTGGACTAGCACATGGTTCAACATTATTTCAATAATTCGCCTGCGCGTTGGGGTCTTCATCTGTGGGACAAAACCAGGGGACCCGGAGAAAATCTGTGGACAGGTGACCCTTCAGGTACAAGCGGAGAATCGAAACCACGCCACTTAATAGACCTTATGATCTATTATGCCCCTGACCCTCCTCCCCACCCCAAGAGGAATCAAAGATCCTTGCAACCATCAGTTTTATTAAGTTAAGGTTGCATATCTTTAAAACCACACACAACATTTTAAACTTAAATAGTAGGCTTTGTGCATTCCATCTCGAATTATCTTTAATCCAGAAAAGATAAAATGACTGCAGTCTAGTGATAAATTAAAAACCAACAAAATATAAGTAAATACTATATAATTCATACTTACAATAACATTGCTACCGGCTGGGTATTGCGCTTGACCATATCCTTGTTGTGGGGGATATCCCTGCTGAGAGTTATATTGCGGGGGATATCCTTGTTGTGGGGGGTATCCTTGCTGCGGGGGGTATCCTTGGGGATCCTTAACTGAAAGAAAAATATGAACGATTATTATTTTTTTTGCTAAATTTTAATATATTCTAAATATCTGGACCAACGGTCCTACTAGTTATACTCCCAACTTTAACATCCGCATACTGCAGCACCTTGATCGCGAGATGAAACAAATTATTCATATTGCCGCTATTTATTATTCAACTTGTTGTAATTGACATAGAAGGGGTGTAAATACAATTAACTGTTGTAGTTGTCTTGTATATACAGGAAAGAATTTGTGTGTATACAAATATTTGTTGTATTGAACTTATTTTATTTCCACAAAACCCTGTGCGCGACAACCACTGATAGTATTTATTTATTTATTTATTTATTTTATTTTAATTTTTTTGGTAGAAAAGTGGCGGTGGTCTTTATGTGAAACATCGTCTTTTCTTTTGTTGCTCCAAATAATTGTGAAGATATAAACCCGTTTTTTTGCATAGAATGTGTCTACATTTTTCAATTTGGGGCATATCAAGCCCAATAACTCGCCCTTTGTCAGCGAAAGTAGAGTTTATATATAAGTTTGACAGATATTTAACTGTTGAAACAAAGGTGACGCACATTAAATACAAAAAGTTTCGTAACATCTTCCGGGTATCCTATTTATGACTCATGTATTGCGTGTGTATTTTACCGATTATATCAGCTGTACAAAGCCTATTTCATCTCTATAATAATGTCAAACACATCCTTGTTTGCCGATTATGTCACCTTAATAAAGTCTATCCTCCGGTAACTCGATATTCATATCAAACTGGAAAGTAAGTTTTTAGTGGCCATGTTTGTGTCCTACGTCATTACCTACGTCATTATGATGACGACTGCATTGCACGATAAATACACAAAAGGATAGGTTAAAGTATCAAAATGTAACCGATAGCCTCTCCTCTCTCGAACCCTTAATACATAAACAGATTCGTAACAACTTCGACGTGTTACGATAGCCTCTCCCATCAATAAATACATAACAATATTGGTAACAACAACTTCATTCAGATACCGATAGACTCTCCCATCACACAATTAGTAAATACCTGCATTTTAAAGGTGATAACATGAAATTATGTGCACAATGGTAGATAGGTAATACCCCCCGTCAGACCAGGGTGGCGCCCTTACTGCGCTGCTACGGTGACGGAAAATGGTCTCAGAGCATGTCAAGATCGTTATTAGAGTGGTGAAAGCTTGATGGAAACGCCAGATATCGTGCTGTGGTCTCCGTGGTCGCCAAACAAACGCCAAGGTTCTGCGTTCTGACCTGGAAAGCTGTGGGAGGGCGACTTTTTTCAAGTTTGTAATTTTTGGGGACATCTTCTCGCGCTGTGTTCACGTTTGCCGGCGACCATGGGCATTTTCTGGTCGCCGTACGGTCGCAGCAGCGCTGTAAGGACGCCGCCCCGGTCTGACAGGGGCTTAAAGAAACTAATAAACATTAATGCTTCAAACAGGTTACCACGAACCATCAACCGAAACGCTTTATCGCTTATAAGTAAGCCAGCAGCGTAAAAGATTCCTTGACAGTTGGAGGTAGGTATAAGAGTAGCACACTGTATGGCGCATGCGCGTCTTCATTAGACCAGTCGATACAGACAAGTAGGACGTTAAACCCCATTTTATTTTATTTTCATAGCAGATCTAATATTATAAGGGGGGTTGGATGGCCTAATGGTTAGCACGCGCGCGCTGTATCATAAGGCCTGTCATTGAGTCAACTGGCGTGGTTTCGATTCCCCGGTTGTATATGTGACAAGGAGTAGGGTCGCCTGTCCAACCTCGTGGGTTTTCTCCGGGTCCTCTAGTTTCCTCCCACAGCTATAGACCACTACGCGCACGTGGATTATTGAAACAAAAGTTGAACCATATGTTAGTCCCGGAATGACCTAGTTTGTGTCGAGTGAACGTTAAACCCCATTCTCTCTCTCTGTCTCTTATCTTAAAGTTTTTCCTGTTTTGGTAACCAGAGTAATGACCTGTAAGTCAATGTATACGCATTCCAGAACATTACATTATTATTCACATTTGTATAATTATGTATACTTATTATGTTTATTACTGATAATTAATATTATAATATACCATGGATATACGTGTGAAATGAGATAAGACTTAACATGATATTAAATATCCGATAATGACAGTGTGTACATTTGATCGGTTGACTTCTTGACAGTGTGTAAACATCCGCTTTACAAGTGTTTATTGACTATGTTAAGTAGCCAGATTTATCATCAGTTTTTGTGATAAGGGAATCTGTCTTTGAAATGAAATGAAACGGAATGGGTTTTCGCGCCCCACCGTTGACGGGGATTGCCCAAACGACATCTTTTCCTACTCTGGTTTGAATGCTAATCGTTCAGGGTTCACGTCAAATCAAAAACAACATTGTTACCAATCGGAGATGTCCATTTTTTTTATTTTATTTTTTTACTAATCGGAGATGTCCAATTTGTATAAGTTTAACAACACCCACATCAAAAACTGCATTGTTATTTTATTTTATTTATTTTTTTACCAACCGACGAAGATCCCTAAACGCCATTGCATTTGTCTCATTCATGTCCAATTTGTATAAACTTAACAACACCGATATTGTAAAATCAAACCAAATCAACTATTACTCTTTACCAACAGTCAACCATCACCAAAGTTGTAAGACATGTTATTTCATGAAGCCATATCGATCCCGGAGATGACTTAGAAAGTACCTCGGAATTTTGCATCGTAGTTTCACCTTATCAGTGGTGTAAGGGGAGGATGGAATGGCAAGAAACAGTGCCCAGTCGGTCGGATGGGAGAAACAACCGATATCCCTTGCACTGAAAAGATCCCGTGTCAGTTACAAAGTCGTAGCGCCACTGCCCGGGAAAATCCCCCCTCCTAAGCATGTTGTTACAGGAGTCATATTAAAGGGACAATAACACTCTTGCTGGCTTGACAGCTCCAGAAAATTAAAAAAAATAGCCTTATTCTAAGTACTAGATGTGTTAGTGTCCTACCTGTTGTGTAAATTATCCATTAAATCCTATTTTACTTGTCCAAAGGGCTCAAAAATATTTTTAAATCCAAGTCACATTTGAAAAGCTTTACGCCAGTTATTTTCAAATCATTTAGTTGAATTTTTCCATTTTTTTAAATTAGGTGTGTTAAGATGAAATTTGTATCATCAATTAATTGGAATATTGTAAAATAGTACAATTTGTTGACCAGAATAAAGATTAGGACATATTATTCAGTTACAACAAGAGTGGTATTGACCCTTTAAGGTATTAATTGATTTTATTGCGTCAGAACACAAAGCGTCTGCATCTGTCAATCCATTTGGGGAGTTTCCATCAATCGTGTATTGCGCAAGGCGTGCAGTCTCTTACTTACCAACATCTGTCGTACTATATTATTATAATAAATAAACCTGAACTCAATAATCGATGATAATCAACAAAAAAGTCGGGTGATTTGAAATGTTAAATGAGAGAGAGAAATGGGGTTTAACGTCCACTCGACACAAACTAGGTCATTTCGGGACTAACACATGGTTTAAATCTATTTCAATAATTCGCTTGCGCGTAGGGGTCTCTAGCAGTAAGAGGAAACCGGAGGACTCGGAGAAAACCCACGAGGTTACACAGGCGACCCTACTCCTTGTCACGTACAATCGGGGAATCGAAACCACGCCAGTTGACTGACTCAATGACAGATCTTATGCTACAGCGCGCATCTTGTGTACCAGATATGTTTATCATCGTGACCTGAAAAACATTTATAAACCACCCGTATGGAAGACCAAATGGGACAATATTCATGATTCTTGTTTCTACATTCCAGTTTGAACATTTTAGACACGAACGCAACATTCTAAACTAATGATTCTTGTTTCATGCACAAAATCAACATTTTAAACAAAAACTTGACTTTATGTTTTATTTTCGGCGTTTTATCGGTAACTTTTATATATCATTAAATATTAAAATTAAAAAAAAAATAATAATTTCTTAATTTTACACGACAAAGAAATCAATTCATTGGTTTCTGAAAGTATCTAAAAACAAATCTGGAATTTGAACTCTTATGAAAATATTTTCTACGTTTCAAAAAGTCTTGAAGTTAAAATCTTGAAATGAAAATGTCCAGAAAAATATAATGAATTATCAACATTATTACACCAGAGGGCGTTAGCGTATGTGTACAACTTTGATACATATTCGCCTGTAATCGTGTATTTGAAGATGTCAATTATTACGTTTTAATCACTATAATCTGACTTCGATAATTTTTCTAGAATGATATAAAAAAACTTCTATAAGTTTCTAATGATCGCCTGAGGGTTAAATTGAGAATATATTAAATATTATGAAAATGGCAAACCTGAAATTGTAAATAAATAGTATAATAGTATTTAATTTTTATATCATTCAGAACCACCATTTCATGAATTGGTAATATTAATTTGTATATTATTAATAACCACCTTTTCATGAATTGGTAAATATTAATTTTTATATTATTTATAATAACCATCTTTTCATGAATTGGTAATATTAATTTTGTATACATTATAAATAACATTGGAGAGAGGTAGCCTAATATAGGCAGGCCTAGATTGTTCCTCAATCTTTACGCAGGTTATTTAAAGTTGTCACGAATTGATAATAATATTTGTTTGGTGTACATAAGGGAGAGGTGACCTAATACACGCTCGCCAGTTCCCCGTTCTTTTTCTGTAAATAAAATACTTTATGCATAATAAAAACAGACTTACCATCTGAGAATTCTTGCTTCGACATGATTATTACTCCCTATTTTATTTTGTGTCGTTATTATTAAGACCAACAACTTCACGTGAACTGATTCACCCTACTGCCTGTCTTGCGTCTTTATCCCACAGAATACGTCACAAGTAAAGAAACGGGCCTAGTATATGGGGTCTGTTGCGCAATATCTCTTCTGGTGGAAATTTCACCGAATGAAAATGAATGTTGAAATAGTTCGGCTATGTTTGTGACCACTTTTATAAGAATACAATATATTTATTTCTGTTTATCATAAATGACTAAGTCAAATTGTAGTGTGATTTTCCTGTTGAATATATTAACAGCTTAGTACAGCATTATAATAGTTAGACATTATATGAATCATTTTATTGTATGTCATAGGATTATCGATTGCAAGAATTTGTTGAGGGGGGCAGGGGGAGAGAGGGAGGGGGGGGGGGGGGTAACGTCCTACTGTTCTGCTTCGAGTGGGCTAATGACTGGAGAACGATGACGTGTGTGTGTTTTTAATGCACACACAACACGTATTGTTCAATTTGTTTCACCAATTCGCTTGTGCGTAGAGCACTTTAACAAAGGGTGAGCGGCTGGGGTGCAACATTTCCCTCATAACACATTGCGTGGCGTAGGCCCAGATGCCCGCATTCGTTGGCCCATTAGCTGCAGTGTAGAAGGACCCATTATTATATATTTCATGTTATGACAGATAACTTGGACCCTTTATAGATAACTTGGACCCTTTATATATTACATGTTATGACAGATAACTTGGACCTAGCGTAATATAAGTCATGTTCTCATTGTTATTACCGTGTTGTGGACGTTGTAAGTATAGCCTAGTAACTTTCCATAACGGTGAAACCTAACCCATATAAAATAACGCAAAGCTTTTTATCTGTAATGTATATGCCGAGAATGTACACGGGACAATTGATCTTACTTCACAATTGGGTACTTGAATCATTTCCCGTTTAGTAAGTCGACTTGGGTCCGTACATTGATATTTGATTTAAACGAAATGAAATGAAATGGGGTTTAACGTCCTACTGTTCTGCTCCGAACTGGGTTAATGAAGACGTGCATATGAGAGAAATTTTGCCCGGACAGCGGCGCTACGGCCTACTCTTATATCGAATTCCAACTGTCAATGGATCTTTTACGTGCACGCCAATGTGTACACGGGGCCTCCGTTTTTCGTCCCATCCGAACGATTAGACAGCCGGCCTTGTCAGGCCCTCCGTCCTACGTCACTGACAAGGGAGAACCACGCCGGAAAATCTGGATGAACTTTCTCGGCCAATGCAGGGATGGAACATCCGACCCCCAGGCTAGCGAGCCAGCGTCTTACCCACTTAGACACCGTGATACCCTATTTGCTTTAAGGATTATTTGTAATATGTCTGTCATTTAACCGGCGTGGCTCCCCTTGTCAGTGATGCAGGACGGAGGGCATGACAAGGACAGCTGTCTAGTCGTTCAGATGGGGTGAAAACCCGAGGGGCGAGGACCCGTGTATACTTTGACGTGCACGTTAAAGATCCCTTGGCAGCTGGAATTCGATATAAGGTTAGGTCATAGTGCCTTTGCCCGGGCACACTTTCTTTCATAGCACACTGTATCGCGTACACCGGTCTTCATTAGCCCAGTCGGAGGAGAACACTGGGACGTTAAACCCATTTCATTTCATTTCATTTCTGTCATGTAACCAGCATAGCATACTAGTAATACGATAATACTAAATGGGTCTGGATAATTGGTATTTAACCGAATTGACAACCTGTCCTTGACATTTAACGACGCTTGTCCTTGACATTTAAATAGCAGATCATATTCCATACTGTTCGTTTATTAAAGAGAATTATTGAAGGTTATTTCCCTGGCTTCAGAAAATGGTATTTAAAATATTATTTAGACATTTATTCAAGCGACAAGACTATAATCAACTATATATTTACACCAAGGGATGGCTTAGATAATCGAGACTTCTATTATTATTGTGGCTATTGTTATCAAGACTTCAAAACATTCGTAAGGTTGGACAGAATAGATTGGTAAAAAAAATATATGGACAATCAGAATCAAATGTACACATTGACGTGCACCTAAAAGAAGCCTTGACAGTTGAAATTTGACAATCAGAAGCAGATGAATCTAAGTTCTATTCTATTTCACATGTTATGAGGAGGTTGGATGGCCGAATGGTTAGCACGTGTGCGCTGTATCATAAGGTCTGTCATTGAGTCAACTACGAGGCTGGACAGGCGACCCTACTCTTTATCAAGGACAACCGGGGAATCTAAACTACGCCAGTTGAGTCAATGACAGACCTTCTCATCTAACGCGCACGCTATAACCATTCGGCTATCCAACCCCCAAGTTGAAAATAGACCAAGCGATAGTCTAAAACACAACAAACGAAAAGTTCGTCTATCTACTCCACGTTTTTCGTCTAGAATCGAATATTTGAATTTCCATGTTCGGCAAAGTCTGGCCTTCGTCTGCTGCCCCAACCCCTCCGCCCCACCCCCACCCACACCCTCACGACCACCGGCATCCTTCTGCACCCACTGTCTATTGTGTTTTGAGCACTTAACAAAGTCGAGTGCGTCTCTATTCAAAATGAATGAAACGGATCTACATAACGAAACAAAGTTGACTGTGACCCAGAATGTTACAGTTCATTGTCGATAGTATTATACACAGTGTGTTGAGCTAATTATAAGTCGTACACCTTTATACACGACAATCTATCACGTTCTCCTATATCGCCCACGAAAGCACGTAAATCATTTCCGAGAAATAAAGAAAAAAAAACGGGGTTTAACATCCTAGTCTATTCAACTGATCTGGTTAATAAAGACGCAGATTTTCGTGAAATGCGGATCTACTATTTTTTAGAAGAGAGAGAGAGAAAGAAATGGGGTTTAACGTCCACTCGACACAAACTAGGTCATTTCGGGACTAACATATGGTTTAATTTTATTTCAATAATTCGCTTGCGCGTAGGGGTCTTTAGCAGTGGGGGGAAACCGGAGGACCCGGAGAAAACCCACGAGGTTGGACAGGCGACCCTACTCCTTGTCACGTACAACCGGGGATTCGAAACCACGCCAGTCGACTCAATGACAGACTTTATGATACAGCGCGCGCACGCTAACCATTCAGCCATCCAACCCCCCTTTTTTTCTTTTTTTTTTTAGAAGAGGGAGTGGAAGGAGGATATAGGACAATGTCGCAACGCCGAGATTATTTTTTCCATGTTAAACGTGTAAATTAGTGACACACAAGACGACAGATAGTGTAACAGTGTAAATCTTCGATAATAACTAAAGACTGGAACTATCCTTGAGACTATTTATTACCGGAAAACATTTAACATCATATACGGAGAACAGCACGTCCGACAAGCAAAGTAACTGTCCTGGAAACGGGATGAAACCTAGAATGCTATATAAATGTATAAATCGGTATTTATAATAAAATAGTATCTAAGGAATTAACAATATACCCCAACTATACTAATAACAATTAAAGAGGTAAGATTAAAATATAAAAGACATTGCAATAAAATAAAACAATAAGGTAGTAATTAAACTCATTAATGTGTCAGCTGTCAACGATCAGTCATTAGATAAGTAGCTTAACGTCTAATTAACAACGCAGGATTAATAGAAACATAAGAAAAATAGAAATGTTTAAATGAAAGAATGAACAATGAATGAATGATATATTATAAGAAGGAAATACCAACAATTCACAATATTATCACCATTATAATAGGCTGCATTATGGGTGATTCGATAACGAGTTGGCAGGTCTCACTATAATAGTTAAAATCTAAATGATGCAAAGGCAATTTGAGGAAAATTTCATTCAAATTGATCGACAATGAACCGAGAACTAAGCGGTTGAAATTTCCGCCTAGCCTCGATCATCATTACTAAAGTCAGTACGATAAACAGCATAGTCTCGATTATCCATTTAATCGTTAAATCGTGAAGGAAAGTTATGCAGTAAATCGGCTCATAATCCACTAAAGATCGCAGGGTAGCGATGCCATCTAGAGTTGATTATGGTCTGGATAGGTTAATTAATGTCTGATTAATAATTCTTTCGAAGACCAAAAGTAGTTATATGAGACTGTAAATGTATATCTGACAATTCAAAAAAGTAATTGAATGTCATTAGGTAAGAGAACACGAGAAAAATAGAAACAGTCCGTACATTCACGTGTGTTTATTCATTCTATACATGGTAATGCACTGATTTTTTCTATTATTCTTTCATGTTCTCTTATCTAGTGACAGTCATTTTTTTAATGAATTGTCAGATACCCCTTCACAGTCTCACACAACAACTTTTGGTCTTTGAAGTAATTATTAGTGAGCAGAAATTCGCCCATGTATCTGTTATCACCAGTAACTTCAGTCAGTTATATAGAGGGATAACTCGTGTTTTCCTTTTGCGTTCGTCACTTCCGATTGCTGAAACATTGATTACGCATCTATCGTAGCAATGATCACTGTGATAAAATAATATTTGGAACGTGTTTAACCAGTTCTATCACATATGCGATAATGACTGGCAGCAATATTCAAACAAGATGAGTGACCATAGAGTTATTCGACAGCATTTTCTACATCTTTTGATACCAAAGAGACAATTGAAAGAAAGGGAAAATCATTTAGAAACATATTCTCGAGAAGAATGCTATAGAAAATTTCGCTTCTACCCTGAAACCATTTTATTTATTTACAAATTAGTAAACAACACAAACACGGGCTACTTTAAGATATCAGGCGCTCTCACAATTATTCCGTCTGTTTGCATGTACTTGTTTTTTTTTACGCCCACATTGAAATGTGGTGGTATATTGTCGTCGCCCCCGTCCGTCCGTCCGCCGGTCCGGCGTCCACAATTGCTTGTGAACGCTCTAGAGGCTAATGTTAATATCCGATTGACTTTAAATTTATACTTAGTGTTTAAGGTCATGAGAAGAAGAATTACCGCCAGAGTTATGACCCTTGATCACTTTGAGACATCTTGTGGGCGCTCTAGAGGCTAAAGTTAACATACAGAGTGTTTAAGGTCATGAGACGAAGAAGCCTATTGATTTTCAACGATATCTGAGGCTAGAGGCCTCTAGAGGCTAAAGTTAATATCCGATTGACTTTAAATTTATACACAGTGTTTAAGGTCTTGAGACGAACAAGTATATTGAT